AGAGCCTCCGGTGCGTGAGAGGGTGGGGAGAGAAATTACTCCTGCGTTCCTGTACCGTTTGTTCTCTCTTATTCTCCGTGTCAAGGACTCTCTGTCTAGGCTGTTTGCCCGCTGCGGGCATGTCCAGTCTGTGGACGTCTGTGAGAAGCCAGGGCCAGGAGAGAAAAAAGAAAAACTCACGTCCAAATTCTTCAACTGCAAAACTGTAACGGTAAAGCTCGGGGGGGGGGATGCTGGTGCTTTAGTGGTCAGAAAAGATCGCAAGCACTGAATGGTACTATTTGGAACATGATGCTTAAGGATATGGTTTAGTGGCAGACTTGTGGACTTGTTAAGCTTGTGGTTGGACTTGATGATCTTAAAGGTCTTTTCCAACCTAAATGATTTTATGATTCTATGATTCTATACGGGAAAACCATTTGGGGGGATTGGGCAACGTGATTATGTATTTGGGTTTACATTATCTTTTTTTTGCTATCCCACTGCAGCTTGTGGTTTGATTTTTATTTTATTTGTACTGCAGCTCCTTGCTGCATCACCAGTTTCCCTGGTGTATCTGACTGGCCTCGGTGTCTTTTTCTTTTAGGGATTTCAAGTAGCATACGTGGTGTTCAGGAAACCAGCTGGTGTCCAGGCAGCCAAGGCCCTGTCACAGGAAGGTCCTTTGCTGATATCAACAGAGAGTTACCCTGTGAAAACTGGTATTAGCAGTAAGTCAGCCCTAGCTATCTTCCTGCTAGCTCGTGCCGGGGAAAAACTATACCCCTTCCTCGCTGAATCCTACCCTGCATGTCCCAGATTAATTCTCAACATTTTGTACTGAGCTGGGAGATGTCCAGTGTTTCATTGTCCTGCTTTTTTTATTCACAAGGTCGCGGTCTTGTTGTACTGGATGTTGTAGTCTGGTCCAGTGACCCTATGGGAGAATGGGGTCACTTGGTGCAATGGAAGGGCAGTTTTTCCCAACATCTTTTCAGTATCACATAGATTCAGAGAAACTGAGGCTGTGTCTTGCCCTCAAAATGGAATCCAGACTCAATAACAGGCACCAGGTGTCTGTCAAGATGACAGCACTTCACATGTGACCCCTTGACAGGAATGCAGCCCTGAATGTTGCATCTCTTGGGCCTCAGGCTAGCCCACTCCTGCTTGGGAAAGTTGCAAGCTCTTCCCATCGCTTACTGGCTGTGGCCTGGGACGCAAGTTTGTTGAGCTGTGGCAGTGGGGAGGCTGAACAGGAACAGGAGCAGAGTGTGTCCTTCCCCACAGCAGTCCTCTCTAGAGCTGCCCGAAGGCATCACACTTGGGCTTGCTTCTAACAGAGGCTACTGCTGACTTCTGCCCTCTCTGTCTCAGAGTGGATTGCCAGCTATGCGGCTTCAGTCGTGGATCACGAGGAGCTGAAGGCTGAGGTGGATGCCTACATGCAAGACTATGACAAAAAGATAGCAGAGGTGAGGCCAGGCTGGGGAGGGAACCCAGCTAAGCAGTTTGTTTGGGGAGAGGAAGGGAAAAGAGAAGATCTCTTGGTGCCCTGGCCTCAGTGGAAAGGGCAGAGGGAAACACAGTGGTTGGCAGGGTTGTTTTACTCCCAGTTGCTGGTGGGCAGTCAGGTCCTGGTTTGGTCCACATCAGCTGACCCATCCACCCAGGGCTTATGATAGGTATCCACAAATAAATTGGGTCCTGGCTGGCGTGCAGTGTTGTGACTGACAGTTGAATGCCTGCGCCCTTGGTCCCATGCCTTCCTTCAAGTCTTGTGCAGAAGCAGGAGCTGTAACTTTGCATGTGTGCAAGGGGGACTGTGGGAGAGCCATGCGTCGGGTGGGCTGGCACCTGCATTGAGCTGCCTCACCCTCCTGTCTTTACAGGAAGAAGCCAAAGCAGCCAAGGAGGAGGGCGTTCCGGATGAGGAGGGCTGGGTGAAGGTAACGCGGAAGGGACGGAAGCCTGGCCTGCCCCGGACGGAGGCTGCCAACCTGCGGGTGCTGGAGAGGGAGAAGCAGAAAAGGGCCCGCAAAGAGCTGCTGAACTTCTATGCCTGGCAGCATCGTGAGACCAAGAGAGAGCGTGAGTGTCTGAGTCTTCTCCTATCCCTGCCCATGTCTCTTGTCTCACACTGTGGCCCAAAGAGTGTCCTTTTTCCTTCAGTGGAGGCTATGTCCAGCGGCAGGTGAACAGTTGGCTGGCTAGTTGTGCGAATGGCCTTGCCAGCTCTTGGGTGGCCCCTTACCGCCACCTGTCCTAGCAAGGGCTGCTGGAATATTTTGCAGGAGAGCACGCAGATTGTGGCTTTCCAATAGGTGTTTCTTCAGTCTGCACAAAGGCAGCAGTGGAAAGGGAAAACTAGCCTGTTTCCTCCCCAAGAGGGAGCTGCAGCACTGCCGGAGGTGAATGGCCAGAGCCCCAGCTTGGCACTCAGCCCGGGCACAAAAAGACCAGCTCTGGGAAGTGTGTGTTTGCGAGTGTCAGGACTGAGCCTCTCCCAGTGTGTGGAAGTGAAGCTCCCCGGGAGAGGGAGATCTGCTGCTCCCATGTGACCTGTCCTCTTTCTGCCTGTTTCAGACATTGCCCAGTTGAGGAAGAAATTTGAGGAGGACAAGCAGAGAATTGCGCTGATGCGAGCCCAGCGCAAGTTTCGGCCTTACTAAGCTGTGCCAAGCTATTTCCTCAGATACCTGTGCTGGAGAGGGCGGGAGAGATGCCTATGGATTTCATGTGCCAAAGGATTTCAGGGAATTGAGGCAGCTTCAGGTTGTCCCTGCTCTTGGATCTGAAGTGGGAGATCCCAGCAACTGCCGCTGGAGGGGGAGTTTCCTTCACTCGCACCAGTATCTTCCTCGTCTCCCGCCCATCGTTCAGCTCTGCGGCACCACTTCCCAGGGTGCTCAGGTCAAGGGGCTGAGGCACTTGCCGTGACAACCTGTATCTCCCTGCCACCCCAGGCCCTCCTGAAGCTTGGTGAGAGCTGAGATTGACCTAGCACAGCCTCTGCAGGGGCAGGGAATGGCTGAAGAACTGTAAATAAACTGCTACTGTGTTTTCAGAACATGGGAATGCCTCCCTCTTTCCCATGGTCTGCTGTGGGTGACAGCTTCTTGTGTGCTGGGGCGACGATTAAAGTCATGGCTTTGTATGCCAGTGCTCCTTTGCACATATTATCTGGGGGTGAGTAAGAAGAGGAGGGAAGTGACCTTGGGAAAAGCCCAACTGGGAAGTTCCTAGACCTGTTGTCACAAGCAAAGATCCGTTGTGTGGTACAGAGCCCCTGCCCCTTCCCTTGGTGTTTCCCTCCCAGGCAGCTCCCTCTCAGCCAGATGTTGAGGCGCCCAGTCTTCCAGCTGTGCGTGGACCTCTACAGCCATGTCTAGCCTAGGCTATGGGAACTTCTGCTGTTCAGCACCATCACTAGAACAAGGTGAGATGGCAGCCTGGCTTTGGAGGGAGAAACCAGACTCTCCAAGGCCTGTTTCCATTTAACCTGTCACCAGCCCACAGGAGGCAGGTGAGGATGGCAACAGGCACATCCAGCTGCGGGGCAATGCTTTTGTACTGCCCAGGTAACATTTGCGCAGCCTCAGACTTAATGATTGTTCACCCCAGTGCACTCTGATCAGAAAGTGGCTGTAACCCACGCACCCCCAGGCTTCTACACATTTATTTTACTGCCTGCAGCCTCAATATGGGCATGACCGTGAGTGTAAGGTGGAAATGCTGGTAAATTCCACAGAGCTGGGTTAAAATGGATTTGCCCTCCCCTAGAAAACCCACTGCAAATGCAGCTTCCATTGCATGGGGATACTGCCAAGCCTACTTGCTTCAGTTGGGTTTTTGCATCAGTTTAACTAGGAGGCAGATGGATCCTTAATAAGCCGTATCTAAAGCAGAATACATGTAAAAATCACTGCCTCCTAAGACAGGCATTTTAGCTGCTTGGGTGAGCATCCCAAAAGAAGGTTCACTCTCCTATACAGAGAAGACAGAGTTAACATTGGGAGATTAATCTTTATTTAGAAGGACAGAAATCATCTCTGCCAACTTTTCCATTATTAGTAGTTCTCCCAGCTGCTTCAGCTAGAGGATTAGTGACTCATTCCCCAGGAGTTCAGTAAAATGGCCTTCCGTGCCCAGGTGAGCTTTTAAGCTGACTTTTGAACAAGCACCAGCTCTCACAGAGGAACACAGACACTTGAGGCCCTCTGAGCTCAGGCATCCATGGAATTAACCAGGGAAGCAGAACACTTTCCTGGTTTTTCAGTAGGTCTAACCCTGGGAAGGAACTGGTCACACCATCCTCAGGGAGGAGGTGAGATGAGCCACCTTTGCAATGCTACAGGTGGTGTTGCTGCTGCTCCCAAGGGGAAGGCTGCTCTGGGTGTCTATCGCTGTACTCGCAGAGCTGGAAGCGGAGGAGGGATTCCTCTTGCCTTTGACAACAGATATTTTGCTCAGCTCTCTTCCAGGGAACCTCTGCAGACCTGCTTCCACCCTGCAGTGAGCTAAGCTTAGGGAAGGGTATCATGAAACTGATGTTGGATGCAAGGTAGGAATGGTGACGATTCCTCCAAAGCCTGCTTTTTAGCTCCGTGTTCTCCTGGACTGCTGCAGCAATGATCCGTCTTCCTAGAGCCTGGCTCTGGCATTCTGTGCAGTCAGGAAGTTGCTGATGATCCCAGACACCACCTCGGGCTCGTTCAGGTGCACAAAATGACTCCCAGGCACCTCCACTAGCTGGATGTGCTGGAGGGAGAGGACACAAGAAAATACGGACCAGGAAAGTGTTCCCTCAGGCAAGCTGTGCTTGCTGTGTGGCATTCAGGGAGGGGGGGAGGCATGACAGGGATGGGAGGACTAGGGAAGAGCTGGGTCCAGGGGCCAGTACTGACTTGGGACTTCGGCAGTAGGGGCAAAGTTGGTTTCCTCCTATGTGAGGACTGTGCCGTTCAGGACAAATCACCTAGTGGGGGGTGTCCACCAAGGTGAGCTGCTTCCTAGCTGCTGCTCGCAGGTTGGTGGCGCACAGAGTGAAGATGCAAGGATGGAGTTTGCTCTCACCTCTTTGAGGATAGACTCAAATGCCTCCCGTAGGGCTTTCACAAAGTGATTTCTGCTGTCTAGCTTGTGCGGTACCAAGAGTCCATCTTGTGCTCTGAAAAGCAACAGCAAGGCTCAGTACAGCACGTAGCATGCCTCCGTTTGTCTTTGCTGCTGTCCTGGGCAGATGCAGTGTCCCCAAGACTGTGCGGCAACAGACCCAACTGCTCTTCCCAGGCTGCTTGTAAATAGCAGGGTTACAGGGTCATACCTGGTAGTCAGAGGAGCACCACACAGCTTGGCTAAGCAGCTATTTTCTATCAAACTATCTGTTTAAAAACTTGGGCGATTGCCTAGTAGTATCAGAGTGGAGACTAGTTAAATATTATCCCCCCAGGGCTGGCTCCTTAACTGGTCTGAGTACATCATTCCCTGCCCCCACCATGTTTTCTCCTGTTAACTTTTTCCTTCCAGCCAGCTTCTACATCTCCCCTCTCTTCCTTTCCCCACTCCATGCTGCTGTTTTAAACAGGGTGTGCCCTGCTTGGAGAGGGAGGTACCAGGGCAGTCCTCCTGGAGAAGCCAGCATTAGACCTCCTGCAGAGTTAAGATCATGCTGTCTCCTACTGTGCTGCAGGTGGTGGGACAAGGTGACGTCCCAGGCTCTAAGGGGGACAAGGTGACGTCCCAGGCTCTAAGGGATGTACTCTGGCCTAGAGAACTTGTCCTCACCGTGGTGTTGCATTTCTGGACAAGAAGGAAAATCCTTAAGCTCTTACAATTTCAACAGACCAGGGAAGCCAAAACTGCACCTCGTTTCTCAACTTCTAGCACTTTCTCTCATTTCCTAGAGAACCTTTTAACAAGGTAGCCAGAGCCCTGGACATGTTGCCCTCCAAGGAGATGGGAAAAATGCAGAGGATGACTGACAGAGCCAGCTACCCACCCAGACAGCATAACAGCTTGTGGGGCTCTGTGCAAGCCACTGGCTACCTCCCCACAGCTTCTCCCTGCCCTGGGCAGGAAGGGAGAGCTTGTAACAGCTGGGTCAGGCCAGGACCAGCTGGAGGAGGTGAAGGCTGCTGTGGTTTCACCTGTTTGCTTAGGCGAGAGGCTTCGGGGTCTGGAGAAGGGGGCAGGTGCGGTTGCTGTGACTGGGGGAAGTCAGGCCAGGAGGAAAGCAAGTAGGAGCGGTGCTGTGGAGGGTTACGTGTTTGCCAGGCTGGCCTCTTTTAGGGTCAAGGGACAGAATGTCGTGGGACGGCAGGATGAAGGTACGAGCATGGGGAGGGCAGGGCAAGTCCGGCATTGCCTCGGTCAGCCTTGCACAAGGGAGGCCCAGGCTGAAAATGCAGCGCCAGGCTGGGAGGAGGATGTGCCAGCTGCTCTCTGACTGCTCCAGGAGCCTGTCCAGCCCAGGGCAGTGGTGGGGAACTAGGAAATGCTTCTCACATGTGAGGCTGTGCCAACTGGCCCAAAGTCTGGGTGGCCTCTGCAAAGGAGGGGGGTAGCACAGTACTCCTTTCTAACCTTCATCCCCTCCACCCAGTGCTGCAGGGAGGCAGCGGGGGCTGGTTTGGCTTGTGCCTCACTCACACAATGATGAGAACGCGGTCCTGAATCTTCTGCAGGAGCTTCACGCACTGCTCCACTGTGAAGGACTCTCGACTCTGCTGCAGGTGCAAAGATAGAGAAAGCGGCAAAGGTCAGGGACAGCAGCTGGGGGCAGAGGGTGTCCCTGACCCCTGCCACACTAGCGGCTCTGAAGGCAGAAGTGGCTGTGGCCCCAAAGCTGCCGTGCTGGGACATGACAGGCGGCTAGGCTGCGCACAAGAGTAGCTGGCTCTGCAAAGGCTCCTTCTGTCCAGCTGCGTTTCAGGGCTGCCAACAACGTTGCCTGCTGGGATGCAACACATATGGGAATGATCTCATAGCAGAGAAAAGCTTTAAAAATCCTTTTACTAAAAAGGAGACAGACGATACTCTGGCTTTCATAGCCTGGCAGGAGCACAGGTAGAGGAGGCCCTACTTGCTCAAAAGTGGCACAAAGCTATCAGAATATCAAACATAAGGACTTTGCTGCACTCTCTTTCGCCCCTTCTTATACGGGTGACCTGACAAAGAAGCTGACCGAAAGCATTCATCCATCTGCCGCCTGAAGAGTTATAATGGCAGGAAAATGTGGCCAGGAGGCCCTGGGGCAGAGGAACTGCTAAAAAAATCTGTAACATTTTCCAGTGACTCTGTAAGCTGAGTCAGTTAATGATCAAGTGAAGGCTCTTTTAACAGCAGCATTTAAAAGAGATGTGGGAATTAGGGAAGCAGAAAGTAAACAGTTGGGTGGAGGCAGGGCCTGGGCTCAGTAAGCGGGCCTCCACTATCTCTGAGTTTTCTGTAAGCTCAGGGCTCAGAATCAGCAGGGGGCACGTCAAAAGAGCAATGCTCACCGTACGGACTCTCATGTCTCTGTTATACACCAGCCCTGGAATGAAAAAACAAGAGAAGGTTTTCGTGTCTCACAGGAACAACAGGTGCTCTCCTTCTCCTCACCTTTGGGGTCTGCGCAAGACTTTGAGACAAGAGGAATAGGATTAATTCAAATTTTCCTTTTTTTTTATTTTTCTTCAGCCGTTCTAGGACTTGAGCGCCAACCCCAGTTACTGGGAATGGAAAGCTCTGCCTCCAGACCTAATTGATCCCATTCAGGCTGCGTAAACTTGTAGCTAGGGCACCCTGTACCCTGTGGAAGACAATAGCTATTGGCACCGCTCCCTTCCCACGCCCAGCGTTGGCCCAGCACTGTGATGAGCCCTGTCTCCAAGCAGCCCCTTACCAGCGGGTGTCT